CAAGTTTCATAATTATATAAAATTTCTATTCTATCTTTGATCGTCTAAGGACAAAACTGTGATATCTCCTTAGAAAAAATTTTTCCCTTTCACTGAAGAGAAAACAAGTACCGGTCGACATTCTCGGGGAAATATTCCAGTAAGAAATCAAAAAAGAAAAAGTACCACAGGAAGTTTGGCAGTTTTTCTCTTCCAATTGTTTACAATATTTTACTACATTATCCACATATTGTTCGTAAGTGATGACACTGTGCATAATGTGACATCCATGATCATCGACTTCTTATCACCCTCATATTAATTGAATTCATATCAAAAGGAAGAAGGGATGGAGTGGGAAGTTTGGACGAAAATTTAATATAATTAAGCACAAAATAGTATAATAAATTGGTCATCTTCTTGCAACTTGTTTTCTGAAATGAAGTTATATGCGTCTTGAGTGTTGTAACTAATTATGCGTTCTTCTTACTTGAACACTTTTTTTCCGTTTCTCTCTCTCTTTCCTTTCGATGACACAATCAGTATTATTCCACCTAATTAATCCATTCCGATATTATTAAGAAATGAATCCCTCATAATGTTTGAAATCATTGCAGCTAACGATTAAACAGCAATGAATTCGTTGTATCATAACAGAGTAATTCAACTTCAATATTATTTATTTGATACAGTTTGAGTTAAAATATTTACATGAAAAACTGAAACGCGAAACATGTGATGGATTTTACTGGAATTATACCGGAATTCCTATCGCTTTAGTGCTCTGGATTATTTATCCTTATATTAGTGCGCAGTTCTGATTTGGATCGTAACTAGTCCACTTTGTGATTGACTACTTGCGTCCCACATTACTGGTCCTGAAGCTTATGATTCATTCAGCGTGGGCTTTATCCGAATGATCAGATGCTTGAATCATGATCAGATGACTCCAAAAATTTGAGCTCGTTACTTAACCATCACAGATACATACGGCCAGACTAATAGTTAACTTTATCAGTGTCGTTTAAAGTGAAAAGTACAACATCATTCGTCCATTACAGTTCACAGTGCCTGCAACTGTGACAATTTTATTTCATTGAATCAATTTGTTTCCATCTTTAAAAGTGGATAATTTATATAGGAATGATTTGCAAAATCTCCATTCATATTTCTAAAACAAGCTTTTGAATAGAGTCCAGAAGTTAGGATACTAACACCAGAAGTTTTTTGACTTGATGTTTTACATACTCCCGAACAAAAAAGATGATAAGCGGAAACGCAAAATTTTCAACAGGAGATAACAGGAATATGCAATTCTCGAATCAATCATTCGGACCAATAATATGAACCCTACGTGACACAAATATTAATGATAATAACTTCTTATTCCTCCTTTTCCTGCTTCAGCTTCCGTCGCTTCCTATTTTTTGTAAACCTTTCTAGTGGATGGATAGAAAAAGGCACAACGAAATTAGGATTAAAATTCTGTATAACAACGATATCCATTGTAGTCATCAGCATTCTCATGACATCATCCACATGCCCATTAATTACGAGATCGGCTTTCTGATCCTTAATTAAAAAATCAAACAAATGAACAAGTTATTTATTCTGGGGATATCATGCAAAATATGACCTTGAAATTTATTCTAAAAAACCCAGAATGCTATTATGAAAAAATCTCTCAGAAGGGCTTAAAAAACGTGAAGTCATATGCCAGTTTTTCTGGCTAGCTAGGTCACGTACTTCTCCCATTCCAAAGCAATTCTAAAACTTTCCGTTCTGCGACAGAGCTCTTTTCTGTGTTATCATTATAACTATATATCTAGCACAAAAATTCCTAATCTTCGAAAAAATCCTTCGCTTTTTTAAAGCAGATAAAAATTTAGACTTGAAAAAACTATGAGAACCAATGAAACCTCGATAATCATTACTGGAAAATATAATTCACTAATACTTTGTTTGAAATTTACATGTTTTGTCTTCGAAAGATTAATGATGACCATTTTGCCACCATTTTTCTTGGTCAGAAGCGGTAGGTCACCAGCAGGAGTTATTTGGAGTGTTGTACCCATACAAATGCTGAGGTCGGCATTTCTGCAATCACTGATTTACACCCGTAATAATGAAATTATAGCATTTGGATATGGACCACTCACAGTGGATGAATTGATAGGATGGTACTGGAATCAAGGAACTTTTCAGGAAAGGTCGATGGTAAAGAATTCGTACAATCGATTGATGTGCTAACAGCATAATCTGACGGTTCTATTAAAGACCTATGAGAAACTAAGAAACTAAATAATAGTCATGAGAAAGCCCCTGGAAGCCCTTATGAAACAGCAAATATCGTTCTTTCATTACGGATGACACCTATTTCAAATGAGCAAATTCAGAGGAAAAACAGAACTTGAAAATTTACTAGCACGTTTTAAAACAACCTTGCAAATTCATTTGCTGCACAAAGATCTTCTTCTGGTAGTGGATCTTCCCAATCCAAGCAAACATCGTGCAGCATCCCACGACAAGGTCGTCCATTATTTGTACCTTCACATCGTTTTCCGGTAGGTTTTAATCCGATGCTTCCAGTTGGTACAGTCCGATAATATCTTCTAAAACAATCAATTGTCAGTCTTGTCTTGAAAAACCATCCAATATACTTGCCTGTAATATCTAGTAGAAGGCAGAGGAAAAAAGGCAGAAAATTCATTTGTTTTCAAACCATTAATATATAAATATGGCAAATAACTTACTGTTTTAAAAACCGAAGTTTTGGAAATTCACAAAAAAAAGAAATTTTAATATAAAACAAAGTTTAGATAAAAAGGATTCTGGTTACCTCCTACATCTAGCACATTTTTCCAGGAATACATTTCCGTGAAGTTCAGCGATACGATTCAATGGATATCCTGAACGAATATGCAAACCGTCCACATTTTGAGTAATAACAAATCTGAAGTTATAACAGTTTATAATGAATAACTACTGCATGTATATTTTTACAGGACCTCAAAAGCAACTTGAACGATTTTAGTTAATCTCAAGAATAGAAAAAAAAAACTTATTTGTGCAACTTCACAAATTTATGACATTTCTGACGGCTTGAGACAATCATGAAAATGTGCTCATAACCAACGTTCTTCTTTTCTTCCTTTCTGTTCCTTGTTTTTTTTTTCTTTCTTTTGTTGTAAATCCCAGCTTTCCAAAATCTCTTTCCTTGTCCAGGTTTCTAACAAATAAAAATAAATTCAAATAGCTCACTTAACGATATTTTTACTTTCCAATGCATTAATTCCATAATGAGTGTAGGTTGGCGAAGCTTCAACGAAACTGACCCCATCATCGATCGGTTCGTTTCGTGCTTCCAGAGTCCATAATCCCTTGGGACTGCGGAAATCCGGTATACCTGCTGCAGTACTGATACCAGCTCCTGTATGCAGCACGCAACAACGACTCGCCAAAAGTAAGTCTGCAAGCTGACTCACTTTTCGCTTCAGTTCATGATGATCGTCGACAACCTAAATTTACATGAGATAAAGACCTGAATCCAATAACTGCTGAGTAGTGCAATTCCATTTCCGCCATTAACTACCATGCCTCAAAAAAAGAAAAGTGCTACTTCAATTCAAGGCACTGTCATGAAATGACGAGAAACTACCGGAATTATCAGAAAAAAGGTATTAGGTAGGATCGAACATATTGTTATGGTTGGAACCTCAGATAAACCTAGAATATATCCGGAAAAAATGGTAAGATGGAAACCTCGGGTAGTCCGAGAACACCTTTATTCTCGTAAGGCGATAAGGCTTTCGCATAGCTCATAGCCATTATACCATTCTTCAAAAGAAGTCTCACGGAAAAATTGCGTCAGAAGTTATCCCGACCCGTCAAATCTCTGCGTTATTCCTGTTGCAATAGAATTTTCCTTTCCAAGTCTACTAGCCTGGTTCTACCGTAAAATACTGGATGATCGCAGACCAAATACGAACCAATGTTTTGATTCCTAAGGAGTTATTCGGATAAATGCATAGAAAGGGTATATCATTGTTGTAAACCCAATTTCGGCAATGCTAATCATACTCTTTTCGAAAAAAGAAATTCGCACGTCACACAACTTTTGCGGAAAACATCCATTTTTTGATTGTCCTCATTATCAACAATACTCTGATTATCTGGTAATTAACAAAAATTCCGGGGTGAAATATCGATTTCGTAACGATTACATTTTTTTCTTGAGTATCATGGATATTACTTCCTATTAAAAATTATTGGTGGCAGTAACTATCTGGGAATTAACAAACACGTGCTTTTCGGTCTCATTCATTTAGATTTCAGTTGTGGAAGGAAGGATGTTTTTTTGGAACCGGATTAGCTGTTGTAGAACGTCACCGTATGACCCTGTAAGACGTCATATGTGCTCATCGAAATGTTAAATAAATTCATGTGGTAAACAAAAATAACCTCAGGATATGCCGAAAGATATGAATACGATTTCACATCGAGATTTTCAAAGTAACATAAACCAAATCAGTGGTCCGCAGCGATGTTCTCATTTCATGGTTTCCGTAGGCCACGTCATTGTCGCCCAGCGAGGGTTTTTTGTGGATTTTTGTTCTAGACTATGGACGGATTTAGCTGGTCGTGGTCTGTTAACTTTGAAACTGTCTGGTTGTGGCGCTTTTGTTGTAGTTGTGGTTATGTTACTACTGGTCGGTATTCTAATTCGATTGCAGCGGGTTGGTAAGAGATAGTTGCGCACATTTAGAAAGCAAGAAACAAGAATACGAGAAAAAAGATAGAAGTTGGATCGGAAATTTGAAAGAAGTGAAAGGAAAAGACTACAGTTGCAAAGTTTTGATATAGGGATTTCACAGGATAATTAAGCGATGATAGCAATAATATGTGAACACGTAAATCTGATACTGGAACTCTATCGTATTCATCATTCGTGTGTTTTGGACAAGCGATCTGCGGATGACCTTTAACATACTTTAGGTAGTGAATTTTTTCTTTCATTATGCTATTTTAGAAGTCCACGGTTTTGGGCAATTTTGGCACTAATTATCTGTGGCTTAGTTTTCCAGTTTTACTAATTTCGGTTACAGTTCTACATTCAAATTTCTAGATTTTCTCCTACAAACGTAAGGTCTCTTTTGATGTTGAATTCGTTGTTGCTTTTTACTTGCCATTCAATACAAATAGGTGAAGCATTTTGAAGGGCTTTTTTGAATCACTGGAAGTTCCTAATGTTTTGGTTTATATCCCGAACTTCAGAAGTGTTTCATCTCTCGCAAAATGAAGCAACAATTCAGAAGCATTTTTTTTTTTCAGGCAAAGCTTAGTCCATCTGTACAGCATTTTCTTCGTTTGTTTGTTTTGTTTGATACGTGAAACTGGTTAGATGATTTCCAAGGATATGGACGCTGACATCGATGTAACATCAATGACCGATGATGGTATTTTGAATCCATACAAGGTTTCATTAAGTAGTGATAAAAATGTTGATAAAGAGGTTCTGTTTTTTTCCTCGTTTTTGTTATTAAAAGATTTTTAGGGATCGCTTTAAAGTTAAGGAAATTTAGTTAGCGTGATTTTATATTAATTATCATGGCTTGAAATTGATCATGTAGACCTAGAAGTTAATCGTGTAGATCTAGTTTAAGGCCCAGAGTTCGTTTACTTCTAGCTTTATACTGTTTTTTTTCTTTTATAACGCTTTGTATTGTATTTTATTTTGCGAAAGCATACTGTCCGATATCAGTTAAGAGGAGAAGAAAAGATTTGAACAGGATTTTCAGTACTTGTGCTGCTCTATTAAATATGAGCTCCGAAGTTCTCGACCTAATGAACCACTTTGTCTGCAAGTGGACAATAATCAATAATCATTATATAGTGAGTAGTTTTGCAGGCTTATTTAAGCAAACTTACGGAAAATAAACTTACTCAAGCGATGGAGGAACATATGTTTGACGGAGAAAATGCTGAGCAAGAGCAAAATGAAAGTTTTGAAAGCAACGACGGAAATTCATATGGCACAAGACAGTCGAGAAAGTGACATTCAAAATCTTTTAATTAGTTATTTTCCGTAACAGATGAAATGATGGGTGAACTGAACTAAATTTGAAATTTTTATCCAGCTTTTCAATTGTGTTTAATAATATTTTGTAAAGTGGGCAGTAATAATAATAATAATAATACATTTCATTGCTTTATTTCGAAATACATTTGAGACAAATAGCATTACAACGATGGTTACAAAACTCACTTCTGTTGATTTTCTTGCATAGTGAATTTGATATCTGATAAGTGCCCTTGCCAATTTTATTTTAGTATGGGAATGATAGCATGACGATACTTCATTAAGTGGAACAGTTTCAAAATCATAATTCCATAACGTTCGTTCGGTACAATATATTGTAGAAAGTTTTTCGATATGTCATGCTGACCTATTAATGTTTGATATACTTGAAGACTTAGGAATCCATCATTATGGCAAAGGCCAGATGTGCGACGTATCGTGGAGGATTTCATCAACAAAGATATAACTTCAAGAGGTGCAGCCAACAAAATCTCGGATATTTTGGGTCGTAATGTTTCACATTCAACTGTTTTAACATACGCTAATAGATTGCTGCGGGTATGTTTTCATTTTGCTTTTTCAGATTCCATACTGTATTTTTCTTGGTTCGCTTATGAACTTCGAATTTGAATATGAAATAAATCTTCAGGAAATTTTTGAATGAATTTCATGTCGAGACCAAATGTATTCTTTAGCATGTTTTCATCTGTTTTTCCTTAACAAGCTTCTAATCAGAAACTAGGTGTAGCGATGGTTCCCAAAGTCTCTATCTTTTTGGAATCTGAATCTCTTCTAGTACTAAAATTCCCTTTATAACTTAGCCAGTCAGAATAAATAAAATAAGCTATTGATAACCAGTCAGAAAAAATAAAAAAATTAGCCAGTCAGAAAAAATAAAATAAACTATTGATTGCCCTCAGCAATATAGTTTTTTCTTTTTTTTTTTCAAAGGTGTTGCAAAGATGCTAGATGGTGATTTCAAAGTTTCTTGATGAAGTATAAGTGGAAGTAAAATCAGTTATGAAGTATAAGTGGAAGTAAAATCGTTTGGATCATCGTCACGGATAATGCCCGTTATTTAAGGGAATAAAACGTGAAGTGGAGGAAGAACCAGCATATCAAGTTCAGGTTGAACCCGATGATTCCCCAGCAGCAGTTGATGAAGTTGGGTATGATGTGCATTTCGAGCTCGTGAAAACTAGCCGTGGGAACGATAATGGTTTGGCAGTTTATGAAGACAATGGTTTTGTTCGTGTTTATCGCCGCACTAGTACAACCGGACGAAGCGCATCCTATCGATGCTCCACGTGTGATCATCTTTATGAGAAACTTGGCCAGGGTGAACGACCAACAATTAAAATGCGTGATAACGTTATCGTGACGGATCCATTTCCAACACATAATCAGCTGTGCACCCCTACACCTGTGGATGTATTCCGTAGGACACAGGAAGATTTAGAAGCACGGCAACTCAATATGTGTAGGCGTGTATTAACCAGTGTAAGTCTCCCGTATTTATAAATTATTTGTGACAACAAATCTTAAAAGTTTTGAGCCTAAATATACATTTATAAAAGTAAGTAGAACGCTAAGAAATGTCAAAGTTAAGGTCGTATAAATTTTAGTCGCGTTTCAAGGAAATGAGATGGGCAAGGCCATTTGATACCGTTGGATATGTGGTAAAACCACCGAATGAAGAAGAAGAAGCGATCAATAAATGCATCGAAAGGTTTTGTTACTCCTTTGTCTTTCATCTTATAAACATTGCACCCTTAACATATGAAGTTAAGATAACAATAGCGTTATGTGAAATACGTAGTGCTTTGAATGGAATTGAAATTACAGGAATTATGGGTGAGGGAAGGAATTTTTCGTTTACTTTTCGGGATTTTATTTGTCACAAATCATTTTCATTCGTTTTGTAAACATGTTTTTTGACTGGTATAACACCTGATCGATGTTTGCATGTGGGTGACAAAATCTGTTAGAATTGGAAAGCTTTCTTTCGTTATTTCATAAATATGAATTAAAGATTACCGTTTTTACAGTCTGTTGACAAGGTGTCGTGGCTCAACAGAAATGGAAGACGAGGACAAGGAAGCGTATGTTATTTTATGCTTTATTTACTTTATTTGTTTATTTGTTTATTTTTTTTTGGCAACTGATAAAAGTACCAGTTTGTTCATGATAGGTTAATTCACATTTCATTTCAGTGTGCTGAGAGACTTAATTGAAGGTTACAAGCGTGGAGAGGTTTCTAGTTTAACGGAACTTGCAAAACTGATCAAAGAAAATCTAGACATTGACGTCTCTAGCCCCACTCTTTGTCGATATCTTAAAAAACAGGTCATTATTTTTGGAAAATTTTTGACTGGCATTAAAGCTTGCTGTAGCGGACTCATGCGCCGCAGTGTTTAATGCATAATTGAACAGCAGTCGAGTATATGGGCAAGTTCATTTTATCAGTTCACATTATAATTTCTTGTTTACAGACCGACGATAAGGCCCAATCGCCAGTGGAACCTGATGAAACGTGAGGTTTTTTTCTATTATTTCTTGTTCCTATTGCGAATTGAGCTACTTTTAGAAGACAGATGAATTGAGCGTTTGTGTGTATAATTTTATGCTTTTGTTGCAGAGAATGCGCTTCTACTTGTATTTTGTCTTCAGAAGTATTGTTCTAAATTTTCAGCGATACCGTCCTGATAGCTCGGCCTGGACTTTCGAAATACTTGAACGAAACGCTTATTACTGTGCCAGAGAATGAAGGCTTTCGCCAGTATTCATATATGAAAAAGTCGTCAGATGGTGTTCGATCGTATTACAGGTTGATGCTGCATTTGTTAAACCGCAAATTTTATGGAATACAATCGTGAACAATTCATGTTTTAGAAACGCCTTTGAAGTATATTCAGTCCAAATTTTCTTCTCTCTTCCTTTCTTTTCCAACAATAATTGAAATTCCTATGGAAAAGTCAGCAGAAATAGTGAGGCCTTTCTATAAACCATTCCGATATAGGGACTAAGGTTTCCAGAATTCGCACATCTTTAGCTCAGCGATGGATTTTTCGAAATCGAAATTTAGGGAATGAAACAAAAAAAAGAAAAAAAACCAACCGTGATTTTATTTAGATGAGTTTTATTTTCTGAGACAAGGTTTGGCTGATATTTGGATTGAAAAAAATCCATATGTATATTGTTACAGGTGCCTTGGATGTTCCCGTGCGAAGCGCCTTTACGGACCAGATCGTCAAGCTTACGTAAAAGTGGAATATGGTGAGATAATCGATAGGCCACTTCACCATCGCAGATGTGAACCACAGTCGGAAGAAAGTGTTTTAGTCCAAAATCTGGATCGCGAATGTCGTAGAAGTATCAGGAAAGGTGAAAAAAATCCACGAGAAGCTCATGCAGAAGTTTGTTTGATTTGCGATTTGATCCTGTTTTGATTTTGATTAGCAAAAGTATTCAGTGGATCGTATGGGTCTTTATCTCATTTGGAATTCAGCAATGCGTTTAATGCTGGATTCTCGGAATGTTTTCATGTACCTTTCTGATGCTTATCATGGTGAGTAGTCCAGCAGTTCTGTGAATGTCTAACTTGTGGTATACATCACATGGCGTGCTTTTTAATCTTCGGATGGAGTTCTACTTTCATAATTTTAATATTTTAGGGGTTAGATAAAATGGCTGAAATAGAAGCGTCGTTTTCTGGGGACGAAAATATACATGGCGCTTTGCAAAAGCTCTTCCCATCATGGGAAAGAGTTAAAGCGGCATATTTTCGACAGAGGGATTTGTTAAAAAAGGCAGCGATAGCGGCAGAACTAGAAGAGGGAGCATACCAAACTAGCATCCATGGAAGCGAAATTGGTCGTTATGAAGAAATTGAAGGAAATGAGAGGTTAATTTATTGTCTTACCACTAATCTAACTTAAAGTTTTAGCAGCTCTAAACCTTTTTTTATTGCTCTTCTGTTCGTGAAACCATCAACAGTGCCAATTACTGCAGTGCAATATTGTCTAGATAGTAGATCTCTCATTATGTGGTTATGATATGTGTAGTTATTACATGTATTACGATATATGTTATGGCATGTGTTCCGGCACGTGGAAAACTTGCTTATTTGTGAGCACTTCGTAAAACGCATCCGATGAATGGCTTGATGGCTAGATAATAAGAAACTTTGAGGCGGCCGGTGTCCTTATTTTATTTCGGAAGGCTTATGTGTATGTCTTACGTACAATAGCAGGATGTGTGAGAATGCTCTGACCTAAGTGTTGGAATGTGACTCTTGTTTTTTAGACTTCATCCAATTGCCTTCTTTGTATAGATTCATGTAAACTTTGTAATTAGCACATTGTATTTTATGCGAAACATTGAATTTTAGCTTCATACCACCTCCCAGTGCAGCTGTCGAACTTACTCCCGAGATGAATGCTTTGAAAAATCAATTATTATTCGATGTACAGCAAGCCATTCGGAGAGAAGTCACACGAGCAGTTACTCGCACCACTGCCATGATGGAGCAACGATTCGATGCAAAAATTATGCAAATATTCGATGATATATTTCGGACACAAAATGAAGAAGAAATTGTAGAAGCAGGGGTGAATTTTATTTTAACTCATTTATGGTTCATGTATCGTTCGACCCTCCACTTTCTATCTTCTCAGTTCTCGTTAATTCTTTTGCTCTGTACTGATTTCCGTAATTAATTTTTTAAAGCTTTTTCATTCTGTACACTGCATTCAATTTGGCACGGAAAATTACATATAATCCGAAAATTATGATGGCCGCTAGGTTTTGTAATAATTTGGGAATTTGCGCACTGAAATTCGTCATGTTTGTTTTTTCTAGGTAGTCGATGAATATGCCCTCCAGGAATTTCCGTCAACTTCATCCGCCTCATCCTATCCTTCACAGAAACGACGACGTTTAGAGAGCATTGGAGGGAATGAAAGGATTAACGATACACCGTTTTCAATTCCCGCCTGCTATTTGAAACGAAATAGATTGGTTATTAAAGAAGTTACAGGAAAGAAGAGTTCTATTTAAATTCTCCTTTTGAATTGCACGTTTTGGATTACAACTTTTATCCAGAACTTTGATCAGTTGTGTAGATAATATTCTAAATTCTTCTGCTGTCCTATATTTAAATTCTCGTAACTTTTGATCTTGTTTCATATTGATGGCTTCTTCATTTTTACGGTCTTAGCTCTTCCGTTCTGCTGTCCCATATTTATTCGGAAGGAAATATTGAAACGGGAGTGGGAAAATGCTGTATTCATCAGTCGTTTCTAGAAAGCTTTTGGGCGACTAGAATTGTAATGCCGTTTTTCTTCTGTTTATTTGTAATCTTTCGTATACATCGTTATTTAATTTTTATTCTTGTGAGGATTGTATTTTCCAACTAAAATATTTTGGTAAGCTTTTTGATTTTTTACGTTTTGTATCAAGTGATGTGTGGATTTGACTTTTTGAAACTGAAGAACTACATTCTGCTAATATTATTTCTGGGAAGCTACGGTTTTTTGAACAGTTTACAATATTTGACGTCCCGAAATTGGTTTTAATTTCCCTCACGTTTCCATCACTCCACTAATTCGTCCGACTTTGTCCATTCGACTTCTTTTCTATTCTTAAAATGTTGGGAGAGCGCAAGAGGGGTTAGAATAACTAGGAATATACTTGCTTCGAAAAATGTTTTGGAAAATTATTTCATTGTTTGGAATCATAGTGTATGCCATTTTTTTATTAATTGGTTGCCAAGAAGTCTTGTGTGGTGTATATTGTTTAAATGAAATTTGAAATTTTTAATTTTATTGGCAATGAGTTCGGTTACCCTTATTTTTTGATAACAACTATACAAAAATTGAGCTTCCCAGTTGAATATGCGTTTTGTCTGGTAATAGTGTTATGCTGAAACAACTTTCAATTTAATTCGTTTTTTTTTCTTTTGTGTCGTGGTTCATTTACGTATGAAAAAAGGTTGTCATGATTGTTTGCTTCACCTAATTTTGTTGTTTATAAATGTGGAAATCTCTTCAATAGATCTGATGTTTGACGACTAGAGTCGGCCATGATACCATCCCCCAATAAAAAGTCAAAATGCCGATTGCACGGTACCATATTTTCAGTAAGGAAACGAAGATTTAATTTTTCTATTTCAGCAATATGGTAGCAGCAGCGTAATTATCAACGACGAGGGGATATCATTTGGGTTTGGTAACTACTGAAAGAAGGGGATGTTACCCACAAATTTTTTTTTTGATTGCGTATTGCTTTGTCTATAATAAATAGATTGTTATTGATGTTTGTGTTTTTGTAAAATTGGAAAATGGGAATGATCCTTTCTAGAGGGATTACTTTATGACTTTATTTCGAGCTCACCAAAGTCACGACTTTACATTTGTACAAGAATGTGCCACTTTTTCATGGCTGTATTTTTTTGTCTTTGACGTAATGTGATAGAGATATAAATTGTAACCTTTTTAAAAGTTGATCAGTTTTCAAGTCGTTGTTATTGTCATATTTCATAGGCGAAGTAATGGATCGACTACCCTATACTTTTGAGCTGTATTCTACCAGGATTTTTCTGTGGATTTCACGACACGGCAAATCTTACAAATTTAGCTTGTCTATATTTTGTTTAATGGTGCAGAAAACGTTTTTATAAAACAGTTCATGGGAATTCGGGATTTACACATTATGAATTAAAAAAGATACTCTCTGTTACTAAAATATTATCTATTAAGGTTATCAACTGATATACCAATGGTACAAACAGAACCGGTTGAGAAAGAGAGGCCGAAATGTGGTTGTAAAGGAGTTCGCTTTTGCGCAGCGTGTAAAGATACGTTAAGGTGAGATAAAATCCTTGGTATTAATATTTGAAGAGAATCACCTATAATAAAAATCTTACGAGATTATTGACGCTGATTTATATTTTGCAGCACAGTAGTTTGATTCCCATATCGTGATTGGGAATTTTATAATCTTGTTAAATTTATAATGTTCATATTTGCTTTTTATATGGTGAACAATCGGGATTTGTTCGTGCTATTCATTTACCGGTGAAATTTTAAGGCAGTATAGGGTCGGATCTGTCGACGCTTAACGTTAGATGAGACAGACTGAGAGATTCATTATCAGTTTTCAGTTAGGGAAAAGAATAGTTGGATTCATTCGATTTACTTCACCTTAACTAGTTACTAGTAGTATATTTTAGTTGACATACATATATATTTTGGTAACCTGAAATATGAAATACTAAGTATTTCATTACTTAATGTATATTTCAATAACCTGCAGCATAAAAATAATTTGTTTTAATATTCAGTGATATGTGAATGGCTGATCTATTTATTGTAGCTTCTAGTATTAACATTTTGTAAATAATAGTACTACCAAAAGTTTGTCCACAAAAGAGCAAATATTCATAACTGGTATGATTGCTTAAAATGTTTAGAGTGACAAAATTAGCGCTATGTGGGGAATATCCGTATGGAGAATATAAGAAGTACGTTTATTCTACACGTCATCTTGCTGCAATACACGATAAGTCATTAACCGGTCGTCCAACATTAACTGAAATTCATGATTTGGCTGGTAAAATAAACGGGACTGAAAATAAACCTGAGGTAATCCTTATAAAAGATGCAATTAATTTTGGAATGTTGTACATATGTTTGATTTTACTTCTCATTAAATGTGGCGAAGTTCTAGTATCGCATGTACTTGTGAATTTAATGGAAGCATTGCTAGACTATCTAATCCAGTTATAAATATTTGAGGATTATTTGATCATTCCTGGTCTGCATGTTATTACCGATTTCCTTACCGAAGCTGAAGAGATGGACCTCATTAACGTAATTGATAGGACGGATTGGGTGCTTTCACAATCAGGACGTCGGAAACAGGTTTTCTTACAATTGTTTATTTTTTAACAATTTTTTACAATTTTTTTTTTCTTACAATTGTTTTTCTGATCTTTCAATTGTTGTTGTCTTTAAATATAGGTATTCGGGCAGAAAGGGTTTTTATGAACTGTGGGTGGAGTGAATACTGAAGTCAGGATATTAATAATTTGCTTAAAGCTTTCTGCGGCTGAAATCAAGAGAACAATGATTTAGTTGAGGCTTCTTCCAGTTATTTTTATATTCATTTCATAGCACTTTTTCATTCAAATTCATGGAAATTGATTGCTAAACAACTAATGTTGTAGCATTATAGTTTGTTGCGACCAGACTACTACTGACAACCAACTGGCAACTGAATTAAACAAAATTACTTTTTGCAACTATGAACATATTTTAGAATGCTATTACTCCGTACCTTTGCCTAGAACATAGTCGTATTAGAAAAATTATAAAATACCTAGTAGAATATTGATTGACTGCTGAATTAAAAACTCGACCTTCCGGAAGTATAATTGAAAAATTGTAGTCGTCCCTTTGTACAATGCAGCAAGTCATTCAATTCAGTAAC